ATTAATGAAATAAGTTAGTATCGGTTCATGGTATTGGTTAACTTTTACGAGTATGAGTACACACACATTTTACAGTATCGGCCCCGATACCAGTATCGGTATCGGTCCATCCCTAGTTTTTACGTTACAATATCAAGCACCTCAAGGCAACTGTTGTTGTGATTTGGTGCTATATGACTAAAACTGAATTGAATTGAACTGAGTTGCTGCCTAAACTAAAGACGCTCGTCACATGTGTTGTAGCCAGGTGCAGCGCTACATGGTGAAGCTTTCATCAGTATTAACCAGATCGATGCCTCGACGAAGCAGACATGCAGTCATTTATGTAGTTTAAGCAGGTTTATGCTTGACCTCTAAAAGTTCAAGTTCGTCATGTCCTACCTGTCTGAGGATGAAGCTGGTGGAAGTGGTGCTGCCATCGGACCTCTTCAGTCGACTGCGTCTGGAGTAAGTCCCCCTGTTAGCCTAATGAAGGCAAAACAGACCCGCGAATGAACTCTGCTCTTTTATTTTATATTTGTGATTGTATTTTTGTTGGCCCTTCCCTTTATTCATCCCCCTCTCCTCTACAGGACAAACCCAAGGGCACCTTCCTTTCAGTAACCCCGTTAAAACCAGCTCAGTCTCTCAGTCTCTCTTTTAAAGTGACGTTGATGCCAAGCAGCTGTCTCTTGTCTGCTGTGATGACCTGATTATAAGAAGCCGGTCTTTTAATGCTTTCTTGGACTGTCACACTAAGGTCTATGATAAGTGCAGCTTTGCGTGAACACTGCCCCGATGTGCGGATTCAGTTTTTTTCTGACCTATTTTCACACACAAGCAATTTGTTTAAGTGCAGCGAGGGCATACTTCACTTGAGCAGAAAACGAGGTGAAATATAATAAATGGTTGCAGCGCTTGGCTCTTATGACACCCTTCGTGACAGCAGAGGGAGGAATATCACTTTCTGTGACCCCATCTTAAATTTAAATTGCAGGAATGGTCAAACTATAACTTCAGAAAATCACAACACAAAGCAAAAGTGCCTTCGCTGTGTATAACGGTCTCTAACGAGGCCACTTTGCTGAGTTCTGTATTTACACACATTCTGTAGTAGATAATGTCTTATTTGCCTGATTAATGTAGTGAATGTTCAAAAATTTCCCCCCCACCCAGAGTAAAATCCTTAAAGTTAGTGACGTCAGCAGTTCAAAAACACAAAGAAATGTGATTCAAGCCCGAGCCTGAACCATCCTGAACCATCCTGAGCAGGATGAATTTCTCACCACAAATATTAGGCTACATAGTCTTAGGAAAATTGATTATTTTATTGATTATTATGCTTCATAATATCTGATTCATATCTGATTCTTTCCTGGTAATCAAATAGCAGCACTCCCATTCATTACATTAAGTGCACACACAGTTACATTAACAATCTGCAAATGTTGTAACATTGAAAAAATATAGGAGGGGGTAAAGTACCTCCCTTCCCTGGAAAAGTTTTTTAAACTACCTCATGCATCACGAGCTGTCATAAAGTGCTTAATAATTGAGCACCTAATTTCATTCCTTTTTGAATAAATCAAATTCACGCCAGGCTGCAGATCCCGTGCAATCTCAGTTTGACTAATAACACCTTGAGGACTAGTTAGAGATAATGAATGCATCCTCACCAAGACAACGAGCAGAATGACTTGTTTTTTTTCTTCCAATTATCATTATTATTATTATTATGTCAGCGTAGTGTGGAGTAAGGGGGCTTCATTATCCCCCCGGGCATATTTGCATATA